ACATTCTGTTCGCGTCATTATAGATGGAGGGAGCTACAATAACTTGGCTAGCATGGAGATGGTGGAGAAACTATCTCTCACCACAAGACCACATCCACATCCTTACTACATCCAATGGTTCAACAACAACGGCAAGGTTAGGGTAACACGCATTGTTCGTGTGCATTTTAGTATCTCTACATATGTTGATTATGTTGATTGTGATGTGGTACCTATGCAAGCATGTTCCTTATTACTTGGTAGACCATGGCAATTTGATAAAAGTTCTGTACACCATGGTAGAAACAATGAGTATACTCTTGTTCATAAGGATAAAAATATTACTTTGCTTCCTATGACTCCTGATTCCATTTTGAAAGATGATATTAATAGATCTAATAAAGCAAAACAGGAGAAAAATAAGAGTGAAAATCAGATTGTGGCAAAAGAATTTGAGCAACAAATGAAGCCTAATAATAAACCATCTAGTGTTGCTTCTGAAAATAAATTGAAAAGTGCATGTTTACTTGCCACCAAATCTGATATTGATGATCTAGATTTTAGCAAATCTGTTTGCTACGCTTTTGTGTGCAAAGAGGCATTATTTTCATTCGAAGTCGTGTCTTCCTCTTTGCCTCCTGCTGTCACTAACATTTTGCAGGAGTTCGCTGACGTCTTTCCACCAGACGTGCCACCGAGATTACCACCTATTCGAGGGATTGAGCATCAAATTGACTTAATTCCCGATGCATCATTACCCAACCGTGCACCATACCGTACCAATCCATAGGAGACGAAGGAGATTATGCGTCAAGTACAAGAACTGCTCGACAAAGGTTATATACGCGAATCCCTTAGCCCTTGTGTTGTTTCTATCATTTTACTGTCGAAAAATGATGGTATGTCGCGTATGTGCGTTAATTGTAGAGGCATTAATAATATTACTATTCGTTATCATCATCCTATTCCTAGGCTAGATGATATGCTTGATGAATTGAGTGGCTCTACAATATTCTCCAAAGTTGATTTGCGTAGTGGATACCATCAAATTCGTATGAAATTGGGAGATGAATGGAAAACATCATTTAAAACTAAGTTTGGATTATATGAGTGGTTAGTCATGCCTTTTGAGTTAACTAATGCACCTAGTACTTTCATGAGATTAATGAACGAAGTTTTACGTACTTTCATTAGACGATTTGTGGTAGTTTACTTTGATGGCATATTGATTTATAGCAAATCTTTGGAGGAACATTTGGAACATTTACGTGTTGTTTTTATTGCTCTACGTGATGCATGTTTGTTTGGTAACCTTGGAAAGTGCACCTTTTGCACCGACCGAGTATCTTTTCTTGGCTATGTTGTTACTCCACAGGGAATTGAAGTTGATAAAGCCAAGATTGAAGCTATTGAGAGTTGGCCGCATCCCAAAACGGTCACACACGTGAGGAGTTTCCTTGGCCTCGCTGGTTTCTATAGGCATTTTGTGAGATATTTCAGCACCATTGTTGCACCTCTCAATGAGCTTACAAAGAAGGATGTGTCTTTTGTTTGGGGTACCACACAGGATGAAGCCTTCACGGTATTGAAAGATAAGTTGACACATGCTCCTTTACTCCAACTTCCGGATTTTAATAAGACTTTTGAGCTTGAATGTGATGCTAGTGGAATTGGGTTAGGAGGTGTGTTGTTACAAGATGGCAAACCTGTTGCATACTTTTCTGAAAAATTGAGTGGGCCTAGTCTGAACTATTCTACTTATGATAAAGAATTATATGCTCTTGTTCGGACCTTAGAAACATGGCAACACTATTTATGGCCCAAGGAATTTGTTATACATTCTGATCATGAATCTTTGAAACACATTAAAAGTCAAGCAAAACTGAACCGTAGACATGCTAAATGGGTTGAATTCATTGAGACTTTCCCTTATGTCATTAAACACAAGAAGGGTAAAGAAAATGTTATTGCTGATTCATTGTCTTGTCGTTATACTATGCTTTCACAACTTGACTTTAAAAAATTTGGTTTGGAGACCATCAAAGATCAATATGTGCATAATGCTGAATTTAAAGATGTATTGCAGAATTGTAAGGAAGGGAGAACTTGGAACAAGTTCGTTCTTAACGATGAATTTGTGTTTCGTGCTAACAAGCTATGCATTCCAGCTAGCTCTGTTCGTCTTTTGTTGTTGTAGGAGGCGCACGGAGGAGGACTAATGAGACACTTTGGCGTTAAGAAGATGGAGGATATACTTGCTACACATTTCTTTTGGTCAAAGATGAGACGGGATGTTGAGCGTTTTGTTGTTCGCTGCACTACATGTCAAAAAGCTAAGTCCGACTCAAACCTCATGGTTTATATATGACTTTGCCTGTACCTAGTGTTCCTTGGGAGGATATATCTATGGACTTTGTTTTAGGTTTACCTCAAACAAAGAAGGGGAGGGATAGCATATTTGTTGTCGTGGATAGATTCTCGAAAAAGGCACACTTTATACCATGTCATAAAAGCGATGATGTTGTTAATGTTGCTGATTTGTTCTTTCGTGAAATTATTCACTTGCATGGTGTGCCAAATATTATTGTTTCAGATCGTGATACTAAATTTCTTAGCCACTTTTGGAGATGTTTATGGGCTAAGCTGGGAACTAAACTGCTTTTTAGTACTACTTGTCACCCCCAAACTGATGGACAAACTGAAGTTGTCAATAGAACATTGTCTACCATGCTTGCCTCATATTGAATTTGCTTATGATCGTTCATTGCATTCTACCACTAAGACGTACCCTTTTGAAATTGTGTATGGTTTCCTACCTCGTGCACCTATTGATTTGTTGCCTCTTCCATCTTCGGAGAAGGTTAATTTTGATGCTAAAAAATGTGCTGAATTGATTTTAAAAATGCACGAGTTAACTAAGGAAAACATTGAGCGTATGAATGCTAAATATAAACTTGCTGGAGATAAGGCTGAAAACATGTTGTGTTTGCTCCTGGAGATCTTGTTTGGTTACATTTGCGTAAGGATAGATTTTCTAATTTGTGCAAATCAAAACTAATGCCACGTGCTGATGGTCCTTTTAAGGTGTTAGAGAAAACAAATGATAATGCATATAAACTTGAGCTGCCTGTAGATTTTGGGGTTAGTCCCACTTTTAACATTGCAGATTTGAAGCCTTATTTGGATGAGGAAGATGAGCTTTCGTCGAGGACGACTTCATTTCAAGAAGGGGGGATGATGAGGACATCAATACCATTGTTACACCCACATCCCTAGCTGCTATACGTACTGGACCAATTACTAGAGCTCGCGCACGCCAATTAAATTATCAGGTACTTTTGTTTCTTGGTAATGATTCTAATGTTTATGAGAATATGATGCTGCCTAAATTGGATACATTTGTTTTGCTTATAAATGAAGGGCCTAGCTTGGATAAGAGGGATGAACACTGGAGCAAGACTAAGCATGGAGATGATGGCATGCGCAAGGGGATCGAGAACGGAGTTACACGTGATGATTTCAGGACTTTGAAGCCATCATAAGGAGTGCATGAAGTCTTGGACGAAATATACAAGATGCCACTTCATAAATTTCATCCAAAGGCTATTCTAGGTGCTGCGTCACCTTATTGGGCCAGGCCCATGTATTTTCAAAATACTTAAGTTAGGCTATTTTTAGAGTCCGTATGTGTGGGAAAACAAGAGTTAGGGTAGGTTTCGGACCCCTCCTCCAAGGGCCACAAAATTCCCCAATCTTCCTCCATATATATAACCCTTAGGGCGTCGTTTAGACTTTGAGTTTTGTTTAGATTAAAGTTCGCCATAGCTGCAACTTCGCGTACTTCATTTTGTTCAACAACCAGACAAAGGCGTCACAGAACCCCACCTTGATCAATAAAGCTTTCCTCTTATATTCGCAATATCCAGATTGCAATCTCAGTTTCTTCCTTGTTCTTCGTTTGCCTGCAAGAAACAGGCCTTCGTGGTCAGGTTGATCGTGCTCCGGCGTGGTCAATAACCTCTCGGAGTTGGTTTAGCGATTGCTAAGGCGCGACGTCCTCGCACGTTCGTAGTCGGATCGTCAAAGTCGACTTCCTCCAAAACGATAGCCACCATCTCATCGAAAGACGGGACACCTTTGCCTCTATCAAGAGGCGCCCGGGATCGACGGCGGCGATGTGCGACACAAAACGATCAAGAATAGATCGAAAAACCAAAAAGAACCGCGCGATCAAGATGATCGGCGGGAGAGAGAAAACCCCGAAGCAAGACTCAGGGAAAAGACTCTCTAGGGCAGCCGGTTAACACGACCGGCGGACGCATCCTAGGTACGGGCGGCGCGGCCCCCGACAGCGGTGATGGAGGCCGACCGCCCCGGGGGCGGCGCGTGCGAAAGCGGCGGCGGCTAATGTTTAAGATCGACTTGCGATAGATATCATGTTAGAAGGAAAAAATGGATTGGTGGAATAGTTCATTGTATTGTTTGAGTCTCATGGGCATATATATAAGAGTACAATAATCTATTTGAAGTACAAGACAAGCCAGAACAAATTCTAGTCTATCTCGTCTTTCTTAATAAACATTATACTCAATAAGGCCTTGTTCGTTTAATCCTCCTTCTAAAGGGATTGGAATAGATTGAAGAGAATTTTGACTTGTAGAGGATCTAATCCCTCTTAAACCCTGCCATTTCTCTTGAAAAACCACCTCAACCGAACGAGGCCTAAGGAGAACAAAGCAATGATACGGTTCAAGAAAGCCGAATTGGGTGGCTGCTTCACGACCAGTCGAAATTTGAGCCGGTTGACCCACGCCTATCACCCGTGAAAGAAAAAAAGGGTATAGCTAAACTGAAAGCTCCTTCCATAAATACGCCTATATAGTTATGAAAACGTTCTCTGCTGAAGCCCGTGAACACTCACTCTCGTCCGCTTCGCAAGATGACTTGCACAGATCGGCGTCTTTGCTCTAGCTTCCCTAATCGTCCTTCCCTGTACGCGCTCGATCTTGCCGACCGAGGCGATGGCGGCGGTACCCGCGGTGAGGTTCCCGTTGTTCGGCCTCGTACGGCTGCTTGGCGTGGCCGCGGCAGCGGTCATCCTCGTCTGGGCCGTCCACTTCCGCGGCGGTATGGCGCTCTCCGCCGAGAAAGACAAGCTCCTCATCTTCAACGTAATCGAGAAAAAACATCTCTTCTTTCCCTTCTATTCTGTTGCATATCTCGTTTCGGGCCACGGATCACCTGTTGATCTTGCTGCCGCCTAGTGGGGAAAAGTTTTATTACTCGATCCTGAGATCAGGATTGAGGGGTTTAGATTCCACTATTATGTACGGACCAACCCACCAAAACCAGTCCAAAGCAGGCCTGTTCACAGTATCATACAAAACTAAATTAGTGCGATTAGCTCTTGCATCTGAACCCTGCAAAAGTAGCAACGTGAGAGTTTTTGTTGATGGTGGGATTTAGGATGGTGGGTAATTCAAGGTTTGGGGTGATCTCGTATTGACTACTGAGTATCGAGTATGTGATCAAGGGCTGTTTTAATTTCCAGCAGCAAATCACCATTGGAACTTGGTGAAAAGCTTCACCTTTTCACCGCTTCTTTTCCGTGTGGTTTTGTGTGACTTTATTCTACTTTGTGTTGTGGTGAAACTTTGTTAATTTCTTTCAATCGGGTTAAGACTTAATTTTTTTTGGATTGGGAAGTAGCCTGGAACGCCGGTTGGTCCCGCTTCCGGTGACCTGGGGTCGTCAACCCAAATCGAGGATCGGGGTAGAGTCTAGATCGATTATTAGGAAGTATAGGATAGACTAGGATTTGATCCTGCCTTGTCTTGTACTCCAAGTTGGTCTTGTTGTGTCCACAAGAACAGAGTTCTCGTGTTAGTTGTGTCCACGAGAAAATGTGTGTGAATTCGTCAAAGGGGATGTCGTATGTGGTAGCTATGATCATGCAGTACGAAAAGACGAAGACGATCCCAGGATAACATGCATGAGAAGGAAGAGGTCAAATTGAGTTGGATGTTGAGGGACATTATGAAACTTTAGCCAAGAAGAATATGATGTCATGGCATACGTCATCACTCAATAGTTATCCTAACTTTATATGAGTTTTCATCTACTTGGGTATGAGTTGTGCAGTAGATGAACTAGCTATGAGCCATACTACTGTAGCAATGGTGGTTACTGTAGGCAGGCTTGTAGCAAATAAAGTATCCCACTAGTAGCAGCTCTTTCTGTGTGAAGCAAAGCACATCTCTTTAGTGAGAGTCCTGGGTGACAGCTAGAGAAGCTAGCGATTCTAACAAAATCATCAGTTGTCTTGCATTGTTGCCACCGAGGAGGAACAGGGGCTACAGTATTGGGAACAGCTACGGAGCTACCTGTTGCATTTGCTTGGCCAAGTGCGTGCACGAGGGCTGTGTGAGTCCAGCTATTCTTCCTGAATCCGAGCAAGCTCCACGGCACGCGTTACACTCGTAGATGTCTGAAATCAGACTGCAGCCCTGATATAATCCTTGAGGCTGAGAACAAACTGGGACACAAAAAACTTTTGTGTTAAGAGTGGGATCAAAAGCGATCAGGTGGTCTATTGCTGACTCGAAAGCTGTTCTGTATTCCACAACTGAATGTGTTTGCCTAAACTGAGCGACAAGTAATATGGATCGGAGGGAGTAGCAAAATTGAATTCCTCCCAAGGTCAAGCTCGGTGGCGCCGTTTGAATGCCTTCCACAACAGTGCCACATGGCCATCGAAATACAAGGTTGTGGAAGACACCCACCATCCAAATACAAGGTTGTGATAGACACCCATTGATGAGTAGGAACTTGACACATGTCAAAGTAAGCGTGAGCGAGATCAATCCACATACGGGGGTTGTCACCGGAGAACTGAGGAAAGTCGTGCTTCGGCAACTTGACACAGTGATTGTGGTCGTGATCTCATGGTCGATCCCGCTCGAGCTGATGCTCCCATGGTCGCTCACGCTCTAAACTTGCCCGCGCCCCGGAACATCGACGTGGCATGTTTCGACTCCATCTTGAGGTGAGCCTGGCGCCGTGATGAACCCGGTACATGGTGGCACTCCATCTGGCATCTCCAGTAATGGCAACCACTGATTCGCCAAACGAGGGACCACCCAATCGTCATAAAGGAGCCGCTTGGGTCGTCGTGAGTATGGGAGCTGCCGTGGACGTTGCCAGCGTTGCCTTGAGCATTGCTTTCTTATCACGAATCTCATCCATGCTCTCCTGGGTGGTGATGAGTTTCTTACCAAAATTGCTGAGTTTAGTGGTCATGTGGTCAAACTTGGTGAGCAGTGTCGCCGTGGATGACTAAAGTTGGTCGGTGCTTTCCCCCATAGTAGCGATGGCTAACTGGTCCAAGCCGTGGGAGCGGCAGCCTTCGACGGCGCTGTTGCAACGTGTCTTTACATCAAACAAACCCTGCTTGTGATTTTGGGTGGATTCACTGAAGCAATTCCACACCCTTCATCGTGGAATTTTACCGTTCTATCGAGAGGATTAGTGAGGCAGACGGAACCAATCGTGGCGACTAATACCAATTGTGAGGCACCAGCTATGGATCTCACAGGTGAACCGCATGCAGCTAAGGGATTTGAAGTAGGGGATGAGAGTTGGTAGAGAAGAGAGAGGAACGATTGAAGAGGGTAAGCCTCTGATGTCTGTCTACGTCAGGACGGTGGACGGGGATGTGGCACTATGATTGGAACAATAGGTTCATTTATGACTAGTGGTCACTAAGACTTAGTTTCTAACCCTTTAGGTAGAAATTAGCAATTTTTTGGATAGTATTTGTGGTGTTTGGGATGTGCAGGGCTTACACTTGCATAATGAATGACTGAAAATTTGAACGTCCGTGTGTAGAATGGCAAGTCGGAATTCTTTTGAAACATTGTTTTTATCAGTTGATATTCAACTGAGAAATAGACAAGAAAACATCTGCTTGGAAAAAATTACTCTTTGTGTACTTCACTTCTCAAATTCATGCAGCCAGATCATCCATCATTTTAGGAGTGTTACATGGGAAGTGCTGCATGCCATGTGATCTGATGGACAAGTCTCTGAGCAAAAAAAGGGGAATGTTTCCGGTTCATTCCATTTTGAAACATCAGCCTTTCCGTGAAAAAAAGATTGTGGATTTTGACATGCAATGGTGGGTGCTTGAGTGTAGGGTTTACCTCTGTGTCACATATCTTTTGTGTGTCATTTGACAATTCATTAATCTCAACAATAAGCTTTAAATGACAAGATTTCAGGAAAACAGGGTGATATGTCTTTGGAGGGATTGATTTTACAAATCGGTTGGTACTAGAATTCTTCTTATATTTTTGTGCTGCTGCTTGCGTTTCACGTAGTAATTCTCCACATGGGATATTGGGTGGGAGGGAACATACATCCTATAGCTGCATTTGTACACATCTATGTGTAGTTGTGCACATTATCTGTGCACTCAGAATGAAATTTGGATTATTTCAGTCATGTACTCATGTTTGTCTATTAAGACCATCAGACAAGGATTCAGTGCATGCCATTTGTCAGCAACACTGCCGCGACAGCCAGTCTTGTAACATGTCACTTTGTCAACCAATAACCAACCATATTGTTTATGCGTTTGTGGTTTTGCATGCAATACCAAAGTTGGTTATTATAATTATGTTCAGTAGATATTATTATTGTGTATAGTGATCTCATCTTCTTGTGATACTAATGTGCATCTTTTCAGGTACACCCTGTGCTAATGCTGATTGGATTGGTAGTCCTGAATGCTGAAGGTCAGTGATATCGACGAAAACACTTTAGTTTCAGAACGGCCTTGTTATTGTGGCATATAATTTTTTGTATGGACTCACTCAATTTCATGCCAAATGTGTTGCTTTGGCTATTTCTGGCATGTGCATAATATTTTAGATGTATGAAATACATATCATTCCATAGTATTCCAACTAGACTAAGCTGTCATTGTATCTTATATCTTGGTTAATTATATGTAGAAAGTATGTTATGTAGCTAATGATATGGATTCTCGGCATGCTGGAAATGATTCTAACCAAGTTTGGTTCACCCAACTCGTCACAATAGTATACTTCAGAAATATAGGGAAACACCGCAAAGCAAAACTAATAGCATACTTTACCTATTTATGTCTGAAACCCAATCCAACTCGTAGCCAGATTCGGATAGACTGAAACTCCAAAGTAAGTAGTCTCATTTGTTTGAATAGTAAAATCTGAATTGACACCTAGCAGATACAACCCCAAGACCAGGTTTGGGGACCAGACCATTAGAGTTGAATTCAGTTATTTAATTTGTATCGGGTATACATCTTATAAATTCTTGTTGATATGGTGCTTCATGCAGCTCTTTTGGCGTACAAGACAGTGCCAGGAACCAAGAAACTGAAGAAGTTAGTACACATTACGTTGCAGTTCCTTGCCATGTTTTTGAGTCTAGTTGGCCTCTGGGCTGTCTGGAAGTTCCACGATGAAAAAGAAATTGACCACTTGTACACACTCCACTCCTGGTTGGGCCTTTCTTGCATCATCATCTTCAGCTTGCAGGTAGAGAAGAGATGGTATCTCATGTGCAGTCATGATGTTTTTGTTATTAAATTGTTTAGAGATAAAGAGGTCTTATATAACTTATTCTCCTCCTCTCATGGAATCTCCACAGTGGGCTGCTGGATTTTTGACCTTCTGGTACCCTGGAGGATCTAGAAGCGACAGAGCGTCCCTGCTCCCCTGGCATGTGTTCTTGGGTGTATTTCTCTATGTTCTTGCCATCGCCACAAGCGTGACTGGACTTCTGGAGAAGTCAATCTTCATGCAGAGTGCAAAAATGATCGGGCGCTTCTCCACAGAAGCGATGCTGATGAACTCACTGGGGATGATGCTGATACTACTAGGAGCTCTTGTTATTCTTGCTATTTTTAACCCTGGAGCTGGCAAGATCAACACGGACCGAGGTTCTTCAGAGTGAGAGGGATTGGAAGGGATATGTGAGTATGTTGTTTGGCTGCAGCTAGTCATAAACTACACCTTTCTTGCTTCAACCTAGGAAATTTTATATGTATGTGTCATTGCCCTCTGGGCTGTTATTTTTTAATCTGCGAATTGAACGGTTAACCCTGTTCCTGTCAGGAATTGTTTCCCTATCCATTCTTGTGGCAAACTGATCAGTCAAGCTGACCGAAATTACAAATGAGGATGTCTTTTGAAGGTGCTACTACCAGGATAGCAAGATTATTTGTTGGGATATGAGAAAGAACTAGTTGCAGTAGTCTCTCATTGTCTCCAGAGACGTCTCCCTGATCCAGATCCAGCACCCCCTCTCTCCCTCTTGCCTTGCATACCTTTTGGTTTAACCGAGCCCTATAATACCCAGATCCTTTGACCATTATCTTAGCAGTTGTTTAAGTTTAATGCTAACCCTGGTTATTTACTGGCACGACATGTGGACCCATTGACGGTAATCATTCAACAAATGTTCAACACATCACACTAGCGTACATGCGGTGGAGGCAAAATGCGCCGGATTTCCTATGGAAAGCAAGCATTCAGAAAAACGTTGTCGGTGCAACCAATTTCGTTGTTGGCTCCCCCATGACACCAATTTGCAAATCTGCCATGGCACAAAAATGAGTTTCACTTCAAAAACTTCTGGAATTCATATTACTTCAGCTATAACTCCCAAAATGACGAGTTATTGATGTGTCATGTTCATAAAAATGAGTAATTTTCAAAATAGTCATTAGTTTGCACTTTTGAACACTTCAAATTTCACTCACTTGATTAAAATTGATTTCATCATTTAAAGCATGCATAAATCATAATTAATTCATTTTTAGTCAGAAAACTACAAACTTGATATCCCAATTGATTAGGGAAGTGCATAGAATCTAGTCATGGTCATGCATGTTTATCCATTTTTAATGTACTCCATGCTATTTACCGCTATTTTGACAATGCTTTCAGTGGTGCTCGATGCCTATTCATGTCATGGCCCGATTTTGTTCCCTGATATATATTCCCTTGGTTTACTTATCCCAGCATGCCTTGCTTGATTGATTTAGAATCCATGTTCAATCTGCCTTGCAGTAGTTTATTGTGCATATGGGTAGTTGAACATGGCTCTGATTCATTATGTTACGCTTCTTGAGAAATTGTAGACGTTATGTAGTATAAAGGCAATGGTGAGAGGCCGCGCTTATGGGGATCGATGTTTTGTTCCACTCGAGTCACCCCTGGACTGGAGTTCTTTTTTATTTTAGAGTAAGACTAGATGACCCGTTGCGTCCTTGCCGCAAAGACCAATTGCAGCCAAAAAGTTAGGTGAACTATTTGAAGTTTTTTTGTCCCAACCATATGCAAAACTAGAGATTATACCCGCGCATTGTGGCGGGAATATGTCTCAACTATTTCAGTGAGAATTGGGTGTATGGAACATTAGTATTTAGACTAACAATATGTGAACTGAAACTAAAATAAACTTTATTGCATTTGATTATTCTATAGTTGTAGAATATTTCTTGATATGAGTAGCATGCATAGTGCATGTTGATATGGGTGTTTTCCCTTGCATGATGGCATGGCCAGGTGGCATAGATGCATGTTGAGAGAATTGAAGTTATTGGAAATTGAATATGAGTAACATGCATAATGCATGTTAATATAAGTGTTTTCTCATGCATGTGGCATGATGAGGTGGCATATTTGCATGTTGAGAAAATGGAAGTTAGTGGGGATAAACTATTTAGGTATATGGGATAGGATACGATGATCCTTTGTGCCTTTGGTGCAAAAACCAAATGTAATAGAGTAGCTAGGCAAACTATTTATTGTTTTTTCATTCCCATAAATAAGATTGAATTGAATATGATTGTAGGCGAAAAATGACCACCCTAGCGATTTTTCAAGAAGATGCGTCGAGTACACTCGATTGTGTTCGATAGATACGCCAGGTTTGGCCCGCTGGCCTGCATCGAATCTGTTGCCCTCATAAAATTTAGGTGTTGCTTTAATAAAAGAACAATTAAGTTAGTATAACGAGTGTGGAATAGTGGTGGTAGGATTTGCGAGATTGTCCTAGGCAATTGAGAACAAGATCGGTAATCATTATCATATTTTTATACGAGCGAGAGGCATGGGCTAACATACTTTTCGTAATTGGATCATATGCACTTATGATTGGAACTCTAGCAAGCATCCGCAACTACTAAAGATCATTAAGGTAAAACCCAACCATGACTTTAATCCCATAGACAACAATCCCCTTTCTTGGGTTTAGGCTGCTGTCACCCCCGCAACCCAGCATTAGCAAATCATGAACATATTGCAACACCCTACAGTGGGAATCCCCCATGTGTGCGCAGCACGGAAGGCATCATAGGACAACACCAAAATAAAACATGCAACTCAAGCCAATTAAGATCATCAATCAACCCATGGGACAAAAAGAATCTACTCAAACATCATAGGATGGCTCATCATTAGATAATAATATATAGCATAAAGCACCATGTTCAAGTAGGGGGTACAGCGGGTTGCGGGAGAGTGGGCCGCTGATAATAGATGAGGGAAGGTGATGGAGGTGTTGAGGGAGATGATGGGGTTGTTGGAGTATATCGTCGTCACACGATGATTCCCCCGGCGGCGTTCCGGCGCCACTGGGAGAGACCCCTCCTTCTTCTTCTTACTTGGCCTCCCCCTGACGGTGTCCTGGACTAAGGGTGATACGTCTCCAATGTATCTATAATTTTTGATTGTTCCATGCTGTTTTATTATCAATCTTGGATGTTTTATAATCATTTTATAGTCATTTTATATCATTTTTTGGTACTAACCTATTGACATAGTGCCAAGTGTCAGTTGCTGTTTCTTTCCATGTTTTTTCATCGCAGAAAATCAATATCAAACAGAGTCCAACTGCCACAAAACTTTACAGAGATTTTTTATGGACCAAAAGGAAGATGTTGGGCCCTGGTAGCACCTGGTGGAGTCTTGAGGAGGGGATAACCCACCAGGCGCGCCAGGAGGCCCAGGCGCGCCCTAGTGGGCTGTGCCCACCTCGGGTGCCATCGGACTGCCTCTTTGCTCTATAAATACCCCAATATTCCCAAAACCCTAGGGGAGTCGACGAAATATTCATCCAGCCGCCGCAGAGTCCAGAACCACCAGATCCAATCTAGGCACCATCTCGGATGGGGTTCACCACCTCCATTGGTGCCTCTCCGATGATGCGTGAGTAGTTCTTTGTAGACCTTCGGGTTCGTAGTTAGCAGCTAGATGGCTTCATCTCGCTCTCTCTTGATTCTCAATACAATGGTCTCTTGGAGATCCATATGATGTAACTCTTTTGCGGTGTGTTTGTTGGGATCGATGAACTTTGAGTTTATGATCAGATCTATCTTTTTATATCCATGAAAGTATTTGAGTTTCTTTGATCTCTTTTATGCATGATCTCTTATAGCCTCATATTTCTCTCCGATATTTGGGTTTGTTTAGCCAACTTGATCTATTTATCTTGCAATGGGAAGAGGTGCCCAGTAGTGGGTTCGATCTTACGGTGCTCGATCCCAGTAACAGAAGGGGAACCGACACGTATGTATCGTTGCTACTAAGGATAAAAAGATGGGATCTATATCTACCGCCATAGATAAATGGATCTCGTCTACATCATGTCATCGTTCTTATTGCATTACTCCGTTTTTCCATGAACTTAATACACTAGATGCATGCTGGATAGCGGTCGATGTGTGGAGTAATAGTAGTAGATGCAGGCAGGAGTTAGTCTACTAATCTTGGACGTGATGCCTATGTAATGATCATTGCCTGGATATCGTCATAATTATTTGAGGTTCTATCAATTGCCGAACAGTAATTTGTTCACCCACCGTTTGCTACTTTTCTTGAGAGAAGCCACTAGTGAAACCTACGGCCCCCGGGTCTTCTTTCTCATATATTTGCCTTCACGATTTACTTTTTATTTGCTTTTATTTTTAGATCTATTAAACCAAAAACCCAAAAATACCTTGCTGCAATTTATTTTATTTGGCGTTCGATCTATCAATATTTACAACTTTCTCCCGTCCACACGTCATTTCAAGCGCCGTTACCTGAAAGGGATTGACAACCCCTTTAACACGTCGGGTTGCGAGGTGTTGTTATTTGTGTGCAGGGGCTGTTTACGTTGTGTTGCTTGGTTCTCCTTCTGGTTCGATAACCTTGGTTTCATATCTGAGGGAAATACCTACCGACGTTGTGCTGCATCATCCCTTCCTCTTTGGGGAAAAAGCGACGTAGCTTCAGACGACATCAAAAGGAATTTCTGGCGCCGTTGCCGGGGAGGAGCTTCAACATATACCAGGTTCTTAATCACAAATCTCATCTCCTTGCAATTTACATTATTTTCCATCTGCCTCTCATTTGCCTCTCCCCCACTTCACAAAAATTTGCCGCTTTATTCGCCTCTCTTTTTCGTTTGCCGTTTTCTTGCCGGATCCTTTTTGAGTGCAATCTTGTTGTGTAGTCATCATGACTCAAGAGAACACCAAGTTATGTGATTTCTCAAATGCCAACAACAATGATTTTATGGGCACTCCGCTTGCTCCTCCCGCCACCAGTGCGGAGACTTGTGATATTAATACTGCTTTGCTGAATCTTGTTATGAAAGACCAATTTTCTGGTACTCCTAATGAGGATGATGCGTTCCATCTTAATACCTTCGTGGAATTATGCGATATACAAAAGAAAAAAGATGTGGACAATGATGTGGTCAAGATGAACTTATTTCCGTTTTCCTTGCGTGATTCTACAAAAAATTTGGTTCTCTTCTTTGCCTCACAATAGTATCGATTCTTGGAATAAGTGCAAAGATGCTTTTATCACTAAGTATTTTTCTCCCGCAAAAATTATTTTCCTTAGAATCCAGATCATGAATTTCAAGCAACTTGAACATGAGCATGTTGCACAATCTTGGGA